TTTTTTAAAATATTAATTAAAAATAAAATTTTAAATATATTATACACTTTTTAAAAAATTCTAATACCCACTTAATAGAATTAATTAGAATGTTTTTACTAATATGTTAATGAAAGTAGAAAGTAGAAGAGATACACTCCACAGAATTTTCTCAGAAATTACTGGAAGAAAAAAACAATTATATTGGTCCAGGCTGGAGGCGGAATCAAATTTTAAAATTTTTAAGTTCAGACAGTAGTGCACAGCTTGCCATGTGAGTACCATAAATTATTGATAACTTTAATGGGATCTGCTTTTCTTTTTCACTGTCTTTTTATTTTATAGGGTGTCTGGTATATCACGTGTGTCTAACATCTTTTAACTTATGCAACAAGTCAACAGTCAAAAGCAACCTCTATAATTGAAAGAGCAGTGCTAGGGGCACTCGCCTCTTGCACTCTCTGGCCAACACTTCCCCTTTCATTGGCCACGTAAGCTTGTTAGGCTTTGAAGTGCAGCCTCTGACCGACCCGAATAACGTGGCCCAATAAAAGTGAAAGTGTTGGCCGGAGAGTGCAGAAGGCGAGTGCCCCTAGCACTCCTCTAATTGAAAACACTGCTCTGTTACTGTATAGATGACAGATCGGATTTCAAATCACATTTCAAATTTATTTAATGGTAGCCAGCCCACTCTGCAAACTTCATTCAAATTTGGCTGTCTAAATCTTCAGCGCCAGGCACCCAAGGACAATTATCACGTTTACCCTCGTGACAGCTTTAACTTCAATTGTCCCTTCTTCTTTTTTATTCCATGTTGAAAATAGGCAATAGTACCTCAATTATACTTTAGCAGGTGAACGGTGAATCGTGATGAATTTTCACTACATGGGTTTTCTTCTTTCCGTCTAAGGTAAATAGCTTTCTTTGGTCCTTAAATTTTGGATCAAAGTATAAGTTGGTCCTCAACCTTCACTTTGTTAGTTTTGCGTTAGGACTGTAAATGAGTTACACGACTCGAGTAAAATTTAAGTTGGACCTAACTTCACTTGAGTTTAAGTTTGGGTTAAAATTTCAATATAAAAAATAAATATAATTAAATTCAAATTATAAATT